TTTTTCGCTTTGGTAGAACTCAAAGAGTAGCCATGCTGAATCAGAATTCTGGTCTTAAACTTGCTAGTGTTTAATAATCATACTTGTTTTTTACATCTTGTGATAAACACGAAGAAAATTTGAATGAAAACGCAATAAGAAATTATTGCTCAAAAGCTTTTTTCCTAAAAGAAAAAAAAAAAAGGCTACTAATTGGAATGATTAATATGATATGATGATATGAAAATCTTTAAAATTAAGGCAGAAAAAAAAAAGAAAATTTAAAGAGCTCATTCATATACATGTTAGTGCGAATTCGCAGTTTAATATTAAAAAATTGAACAGATAAAAAACCAAATTTATTGCACAATTTTATATAATATATATTATTTGAATAATGAATTCAAATTATAATAATTTCGAACCGGATATCCAAAGACAAAACCGGTATAATTAACTATAACTTATAAGACAATAACTTGGTGCTAATGTTCTATGGAAAAATAACGTCAGTTTAAAGGTTGATCTTCGTCATTGGAATCCAAGATCATCCCTGTGTTCCCGTTTGGTTCCGCATTTCCCATGTGCTGATCTGTTCCATTAATTGTTACTTCATCTAAAATTTGGCCATCTTCCATCTCATCATCATGTTCTGTCGGTGTTTCATTATTAGGAGTTTCTTCAATTTGTACATCAGGACTTTGACTTTGCTGCCCTATCTGTGGTGTACAATTCTCTGAAAGATCCTCATAAGGATTTTCTACAACAATTTCAGCATCCTCAAGAGGATGTTTTGATTCACCGTTCTTATATGGTGACAAGATATAAGTTAGAAAAATTTAAATTTTAAAAGTAACATTAAAATAATCGACCAAAAACCACCTTTTTTTTGACCAGTTTCGGTTTACGAATCTGATAAAGACGTAATATTTCATCTACTGCCTCTAAATCAATAATAATCATCAAATATTAGATAATTATTAGATAATGAGTAATAAATTGATGATAAATGATAATTTGAAATATACTTTACCTGATACTTCGTAAACATCGATCTGAGCAACCCTCCACCATAAAGTCCCTTGTTTAGTTATCTCATTTAATTGAACATTAGCTACCTTTGATGCAATGAAAATCGCAGCGCTTGCAATTATGCTAGGTTTGTAAAAGAGTGAAATTGGAGCATTGAAGCTGTAGACACTCGAATATTGAGATGTACACAATTTAGAAAGGAAAAGATTTTATAAACACACCATATAATTTAAGAACATGTATACTAAAAACATTTTCTACTTAATCACCTATCATTAATTATTGACCAAGCTTTACCCGCAATCGCTTTGCGAATTTCTATTTCACCTGTATTCATAATAATAAATCAATGCGGATGTGACCATATTAAAATTTATAATAAAATTGAAAATAAAAATTTGATAATAATATGATAATAAAAATTTGATAATAAAATAATAATAAAAATTTGATAATAAAATGATAATAAAATTGATAATAAAAATTTGATAATAAAATTGATAATAAAAACAATGTTTTTTTTTACCTTCAAGTTCTCGAATTATTTTTATAAGATGTGGATATGGATGGTCTAAAGTTAAATCGAAACACAAGGTCG